AAAAAAAAAAAAAAAAAAAAAAAAAAACTGAAGGTGCATCACGTGGTTAGCACAGGATGTTGCCTGAGAATGAATGTTATGTATTTTTTGGGATAATGTTTAGAAGTATAATAAGATGAATAATTTTTAAAAAGAATCTGGGACAGAGTCCATTCTCTACTAATCTTTAGGTAGATTTTGCAGGCTTAAGTGCCTGAGACTCGGTTTGATAGACCGTTTTTATGGTTATATTACAAGTTTGGTCTTTCAATTTTTTTGTTTTTGTCTAATAGTTTTTTTTTTAATAGGTTCCTGAATGTAAAAATGTCGAATAAGTCTCTTAACTTTCAATTGTGTGTTTAGTAGGTCGATGATATATTCAACACTTTTCTAAAATTAACGAGTCTCTTAGACATAAAGTGAAAATTTGTGTTCAATCAGACACCAAATTTTCGATTTATGTCTATTAGATTCTTGAATTTTAAAAAAATGTTAGAACATGTCAACGATGTACTAAATTTGAAAGTTTAGAAATTAGTCTGACACTTTTGCAAATTCAGGGACTTGTTTGACATAAAGTTGTACGTTCGGGAACTGAATTAGTAATTTAACCATTTTTAAGTCGTTAATCCGAAATCTCTGAATGTTTTAAGCCCTTGCCACCAAGAACTGAGAATTGCATATTTGTTGTAATGCTGAACACTTGGATTTCACTTTCTTATTGTTGAACCTTAGTGTTGGGCATTTGAATCAGGTTTTTGCTGAAATGGGTGACCATATTCCCAATGAAAGGTGACGTTGATGCCATCAATTAACTTTTTCTATATATTATAAATTATTTTGCATCGGATGAAATCCCACCTCGGCTAATTCAGAGAATGGTCATGGTTTATAATCAAGAAATAATCTCTCCACGAGGCCTTTTGAGGAAGCCCAATATCATACCATTGTGGAGAGTCGTGTTCATCTAACATTTAGGAGTCGATGGTAACTATTTTATTTTCACTTTTTAATTTTATTTTTTCTTGTTTTCTCATCATTTTGTTTTATAATATCTTTATAATAATTCTGATTATTGTTTAGAAAAAATTTAAATTGTTACTCAAATTTCCAATTTTTTTTTTTTTTTTAATTTTCAATATTTGACGAGATTTTTTAAAATATCAGTAAAATCACATTTACTCGCAAATCACGGATAAAAAATAGTGTTTATAAGATCAATTTTTAAAATATTAAATGATTATTAATTCCATGATTTGACTTTAGTGGTGTTCCATTATTTAGGATATTAAAAAATGGAAATATAATAAAGCCAATGCATGTCTAGAGTTTATTTCATCAAATATATATATAATAGATATATATATATATATATATATATATATATATATATTTTAATGTTTAATGTTTGATTTATATCGGGTGAGAGTTTTATTATATATAATTGAAGTTAATATTTCTAAAGAATATTTTTGTTAGAAGGAAAAATTATTGGTTAAATTACCATTGTACCCTCTTAAAGTCAAAAGCTTAAATTTAATTAATTGAAATTTATTTTAGTTATTTTGCTTTCACGTCTTGTTAATCAAAAAATTTAAGCTTCATGTACCAATAAATTATGGGCACGTATATTTTTATTTGCTTCATCTTATTCTTAAATGTATTTTTTAAAAATTATTCAATTAATTCATTTAATGTCAATTATATAATTAATTGTAATTAAAAGCCATCAAAGCTAATATTCAACATTTCAAAATTTCCCTTTTATTCATTTTAATGGGTATTTATAATTATTTTATAAATATATTTAATTTAAATTTAATTTAAAATTCAGAGATTTATTAGACATAAATTTTAAATCAGGAGTAAATAATTTTTAATTATATATATATAATTCTATTATAAAATCAAAATATTAGAATTAATCGAAGGAGTTATTGGATGTTTGGTGAAACCTCGTACATAAAAAAGAGATAATAAATCTAAATAAATAAATAAATAACAGCTTAATTAAAATTTTAATGGTGGGGGAGAAAGTATAAAAATGACGCGTGGCAGATTTACCGGTTCAGCCGGTAGGTAGTAGCGGACGCTGGACACGGGCGGTTCTCAAGTTCCAAAACAGCGGCTCTGACGACGACGCTCCCCCACTTTCAAGAAAGGACGCTTCAACACACACTCCAAATTTCTCACATTCTCATTCCCAATTCTCAATTCTCCATTCACTTTGTTTTTCTTGTTTGATTCCTTTCCGTTGCGTTTCTGGATTGGTTTGAATTTGTTCGACGGTTGATCATCTGTGTTGCCCACTGCCTCTTGCTCTTTGTTTGTATCTACACAAACCTTTTTCCATTTTTGTTTCTTCTTATCGCTTTGATTCTTCTTTCCTTTTCCGCAAGTCATTCCTTGGATACTCAGGTTGGTGATTGTTCTTTTGATTTCGTGAATCGATTTTGCCTTTTTGTTTCGATCTTCTGCGTGACTTCTCGTATTCCTTGCTTGATTTTTGGGTTTGTTTGTATTTCGAGGAGTTGTTGGCCTTGGAAAATCGCTTTTCAAATTAGGGTTCTTCTCTGTTCGTGTTTATGCCTTTTTATTTTTTAAGGAAATTTCATCCTTCTCTTGATCAATAAGCAAACATTAGCCATTTCTGCTCCATCCCCCACGTGTGGCCTGGGAATTTTAAGACTGCGACTGTTTTTCTTTATTTTTTTGGTTAATTTTTCCGGATATATCATATGTTTTACATTGCACAAATGGTATTTCAGGTTTGAGTTTAAACTGTGGAATTTTTCTTGGTGATGGTGTTTTTCCAGGCAATATTGGATTGTTAATTTTTTTATATTCTGGAATATTTGGCGCTTTTTGTGGGTAAGAATGACTGTCAGTCATGATCTTCTCTCTCTTGATTTCAGTTATATCTATCCATTGGGGGTATTCCTTAGGTCAATCAGATGTAGGAGTGCCCAAAGCTTATCGTGTGCTTTTCAGGGTTATGGAAACGTACGATGTCGATCCTGATGTCATGAGATGGGGCCTTCATCTTTTAGATGTTTGTACCTTTACAAATGACAGTTCTCGCAATACTGTTACTGAATATAGATTTGACCCGAGTTATAGTCAAGTGGCATATGTCAATGAAGGTTATTGTGAACCGTGTACTGTGAATTTGGAGAATGATGAGGCTATTGCACACGCTTTTCAAGAAGAGATATCTAGAATTGATTCTATAGAGCTTTCTGGGGTATCTGATTCTGGGGAAGACCGTCTGCAAGCATCTGTTCTTGCACAGGATTGGCTTGGCCCTTCGTCTAGGCATGACCCTTTTGGTAGTGATAAGTCATCAGTTATTTGGTAGTTTCTGCTTCCAGGTTGTTGTCACGTTTAGTTTTTCCTAATCAATTTTCGACCTTATAAATAGGACTTGAGGGTGATCAGAAAACAACTCTTGGCAACGACATAAAAGTTGGGGAGACGGATGATCTGAGAGGCAACGAGGTGGAGAAAATGGGAAATCTCTCTTCATATCACCACAACACAGTAGATAATCCTTTTGCGGATGAATGCTCTTCATATTCATTGGAAATAATGGATGAGTCTTCACTTGATGGTGAAGTGGGCAAAAGACTGAATCAAATCGTTCCGGTTCCGGTAAGTATGTGCGTAGCTTTCATGACAAATTCCTTGGTTGGTTGTGTTATCAAATAATATATACTTTTATCTTTCTTTTGATTATGAGTTTATCTTGAGTTCGGCTATATCAGTTTCTTAGCTTCTTATTCTATGTCCAAGTTGTTTTCTTGAAGCTTAGGCGTATTTTGTGTTCTGTGTTAATATTGGTTTAAAAACTTAGGAGGTCTATTTTAAATCTCTATTAACAAGAAGTTCAAAAGTGGATACTTAATTATTCCATCTGGACAAGGATGTTAGATGAACACGACTCTCCACAATAGTATGATATTGTTCACTTTGAGCATAAGCTCTCATGGTTTTGCTCTGGGCTTCCCAAAAGGCCTTAGACCAATAGAGAGAGTATTCCTTGATTATAAACCCAGGATCATTCCCTAAATTAGCTGACGTGGGATTTTCATCCAACACCTCCCCTCAAACAAAGTACGCCTCCCCTCAATCGAGGCTCGACTCTTTTTCTTTTGGAGTCTTAGTCATTTTTTTACTATGCCTTCGAGGAACCTTGACTCCTTTTTCTTTTGGAGTCATTTGTTCGACATTTGAGGATTTTATTGACATGGCTAACTTTAGGGCATGACTCTTATACTATGTTAGATGAACACGACTCTCCACAATAGTATGATGTTGTCCACTTTGAGCATGAGCTCCCATGGCTTTGCTTTGGGCTTCTTCAAAAGGTCTTAGACCAATAGAGAAAGTATTCTTTGATTAAAAATCCATGATCATTCCCTAAATTAGCCGATGTGGGACTTTCATCCAATAAAGGAGACATCAAACTCAAAAAGACATATCCTACCCATATATTTCTTACTCATACCAATGCCTCCAATTAGACTCTTGAAAGAAAACCATTACCCTGAAAATAAATCCAACTAGTAAAAAAAAAAAAAATCATTCTCGTTAGTTGCAACAAGGAATTGGATAGTCAGCATATTGTAAACGCTATTTATGAATAATGTTTTCCAAGAACATCAGCATTCCTAAGGAATAATAAAGAGAGAGATGCCCAGGGCCCTTAGAAGACTTGCAATGACCTCTAGGGTCTACCATTGACAACGGATGGTACTAGATAGAATGAACAACTAATTTAACTCTTCCATCTTCCTAAATGGAATATAACTTATGAAAGTTTGAACAATAAGAAGCTCCAGTTACATGATCGTTAGTAATTCTATTACTGCTGCTTCCTTCTTATTGCTCTAAAAATAATCAATGATTTTTCTACCGAAATAATGAAGACTTAGGTGCCTGATTTTCTAAGCTATTTCTAGAAAGTGTAAATTCTTCCGTAGACTGTATATAATAATTCAGTATTTCTTGAACTTAAAATCCAGTTGTATTTTCTGTTCTGTTGCAGCATGTTCCCAAGACCATTGAGAAGATACCTTCAGCTGATGAAGAGATGTCAGATCATCAACGACTCCTTGAAAGGTCGTGAACATGTTGCATCATCAGTTTTGCATTTAACGTATTTGAACAATGAATCATGTAGTGGGTGCTGCTTTTGTCATGTCTAAGATGGGAGCCAAATGTTTTACGTCTGAAAATTTACTTCATATTAAGAAAACGAGCTCATGTTTAAATTATTCAGAGAAAATATTCGAAGAATTAGTGGTAGCTTAGCCAACCTTGCATTTGGTAACTTCTTACAAAATTTTGATTCATGCACGAAGTTTTTTGCTTTAATTTCTTCTCAGCTGATATATTTTCCCCTTCTCGACCGTGCATTGTTAGAAGTTGGCCATTGATTCATGTAGTTTCCCTTTTTGGCCATGCGAAGAAATTTCCTTTCAAAGAGTTCAGTGGAAGATCTGAGAGTTTCAGATTTTGCTTTTGTTTGTGCAGTTTCTCAGCGCATATACTAAATGCTGTAAACATGTCTTGCTTTTAGTGCACGTAGTCTATGCTGTTAACTTGTTTTGCTAGTCTTCTGTTCCTTCATTTTCTGAGATAAAAGCTTAGGTTGAAACATCTAGTTCATGGATTACCGTTATTTATTCGATGCATATGATGTAAGCGTCTGATATTTGAACATTCTGGCCTTTTCTAGATTGCAGTTGTATGAGCTGATCGAGAACAAGATTCAAGGAGATGGCAACTGTCAGGTTGTGATTATTTAACAATTCAATTAGATGCTCTCTGTTGTAGTTTATGTTTTGTTTAATAAACTCTTGTTGGATTGGCCTGAACTGATGCATCATCACTTCAGTTTCGTGCTCTATCAGATCAACTATATCGGTCTCCTGAGCACCATGATGTTGTGAGAGAACAAATTATAGCACAGGTATGACTTCACTGTCTCCAATGCATGATATACATGTAGGTTTGACACCAGAGTTGCCCCGTATTAATGCGTTGAAACCATTTTCACTTTATTGATGCCATCAGCTTAAGTTTTATCGAGAAATATACGAGGGTTATGTTCCAATGGCCTATGACGAGTATCTGAAGAAGATGAGCAAGTAATCATATCCTGTTTCTTTTAATTATTGTTATTATTTAGGTTTTATCAACTTGGATGCTCATCTCTTATTATTGAAACGAACCAGGAAAGGAGAATGGGGCGATCATGTTACACTACAAGCTGCTGCAGATTGGGTATTGACATATTTCCTTCTCATTGTGGATTATAATATTTGAGCATGGAATGTGGGTTTAGATACCAGAAGAATTAGAAAAATCCAAGTCTAATGTCTGAAAGTTAAGAAAATACAATATTTTTTGGTAACTTGTATCGAATACGAGCATGAGAAGCAACGTGTAATCTCCCTTGACACACGTTTGTTGCATTTTTTTTGCAGTTTGGAGTTAAGATATTTGTTATAACTTCATTCAAGGATACATGTTCTATTGAAATACTTCCAAAAGTTCAAAAGTCCAAACGAAGTAAGATTCCTAGACTGATTTCTTTCCAACACTTGAAACTTTTGTATTGTCTCTTTCAAGTTTTCCCCCCTTCATAGGAGGAGGCTTATGAACTTCTTGGCTTGTGCAGTTATTTTCTTGAGTTTTTGGGCTGAGGTGCACTATAATTCAATTTATCCTGAAGGAGGTAATTTTTTTTCGTAACGGTTGAACGTATTGTGTATGTTGTATGTCTCGTTAGGTTAACCCGAACGTAGTTTAAATAACAAGTAACAATTTTTTTCGAGTTCGGAAACGAGTGAAGCTGTGTTCAAAGAAGTTAAAAGAAGACATTATTTGATTTTCAGAAATCCCAACTTCGTTCGCGAAGAAGAAGAAGAAATGGTGGAACTTTTGAGTTTAAAGCTTCTTCCTTACACAGCAAGTGGTAGGGTTATTATAGAAAAATGGTTGATAGTTTCTGGGTTTTCTTCCTCTTCAAAAGCTGATGATTGCTGATCTGATGGATGCCTCACTATTTCATTTCTTCTGTAAATATTTGCACATTAATTATTATTATTTATTATTATTATTATTATTATCATGTAGAGCCATATTCTTTATCCTAATCCATCATATTTTTGTTTGCTTTATGCCCTGTAAATTTGCTGAGAATTCAAGGTTATATTTTAAACCACCTTACTTTTGTACTTTGTATTATGACCTACTCCGAATAAAAACTTCCTTTGTTTTTTTCTTTCCATTCACTCGGATCTCTTCTGTTTCATCGATTTTGTTCGGATTCTCCTTTTCTTCCAAAAAATGGGAAGGAGAAGTATCTTATGTGGATCCCTCTTATTCCTATTTAGTCCTCTTTTTGTTTCCTCCGTTTCTTTCTCTTTCTTAATAAGAATGGGGGACGATTTTTTGCCTAAATATTTGACACAAGTAATAAATAAGAGAAGGCTAGTGGGAACTTTGACTTTTAGAACGAGTAAGAAAGCTTAACTTAGACGATTATTCCATTTGAATAGATGATGTAGTGTAAGGTTTGCTTCACGTATTTTCTTTCTTAAAAAATTCCTGTAATGTTGTGCTTAGTTTAAAAATCCTCGTATTCGTTTCATCAATTGTAGGATTATCTCAGCTGTAGAATTATCATCGTGATGCCTTGTCCAAAGCACCGTGATTTCAACCATTATTTTCCTGATTTAAGTTTCAAATTGAAAGAAGTGAAATTCCTAAAAAAAAAATATATGGGTTGAGTAGTCTTCTTTCAACTTTCGAAAATGAGGTTATTTTTAAAAAGTTCAAAAAAAAGTTCCAAGGGTAAAATTGTAATTTGCATCCCAAGTCAAGAGATGCGATTTTTAAAAGGAAAGCTTGTTTTCCAAAACCAACACTTGGGGGGTCGTAGCCGATTCTTATTTCTTACCATTTCCATCAGCTTTGCTCTGGCGAAGACCTCAAAGCGATGTTCCTCAACAAACTACCCGCCTCCAAAATCCTTCAAAAAAGCCGCCAAAACCCCCTCCAATCCCTCTGTTTCCCCTTCGCGAATCCTCCTTATACCTTCACACAGAAGTCCGGCTATGTCGATGTCTACATGAAATGGAAGAAAGACTCGTATTACGATTCCATCGAGCATATCCTCAACTCCATCCAACTCAAATCCATCATTTCTTTCAAAAACTGCATCGCCCAAGACCCAAATGGGTGCATCCCAATCTCTGCCGTTTCTAAGCGAGGGCTCGAAATGGGTGTGTCGATGAGGGTTTCGAGGTTTTTAAGGCTGTACCCATCAATCTTTGAAGAGTTTACAGGTCCTCTATACAATCATCCTTGGTTCAGATTGACCCCAAAAGCTGCTGAGATTGATGAAGAAGAGAAAAGGGTTTATCAGAATTGCAGGGAGGATTTGATATGCAGGTTGAAGAAGTTCATACTGATGAGTAAGAATAACGTTCTGCCATTGAAGATAATTCAAGGTATGCAATGGTATTTAGGGATTCCTGATGAATTTTTGCAAAATCCAGAAGTTAATCTTGATGGGTCTTTTAAGTTAGTTACAATGGAAGATAAATTAGAAGGATTAGCTGTGGAATGTGATGAAAAGTTCATGTCCGTGATGCAGAAAAACGCCATTAAAAAAGGTGTTTATTCTTGTGGAACAATGGAAGCACTTGAATTCCCACTCTTCCCCTCAAAGGGCTTAAGGCTAAGGAGGAAGATTGAGGACTGGTTAATGGAGTTTCAAAAGCTTCCTTATGTATCTCCCTATGAAGATTTTTCACATTTGGATCCAAATAGTGATATATCAGAGAAAAGATTGGTGGGTTTTCTTCATGAATTGCTTAGTTTATTTGTGGAACATTCAGCAGAGAGGAAGAAGCTTCTGTGCCTTAAAAAGCATATGGGTTTGCCTCAGAAGGTTCATAAGGCATTTGAGAGACATCCTCACATGTTTTACTTGTCTTTAAGAAACAAGACTTGTACTGCTATTCTTAAAGAGGCTTATTGTGATAAAGCTTCTATTGAGAGGCACCCTATATTGAGAATTAGGCGAAAGTATATCAATCTGATGAAGGAATCTGAAGTGATTTTGAAGAACAGGAGGTTTGGTAATGGTCTTGCTCATCGAGAAGTGTTGGTGGACTTGGATTTGGATGCTGCAGATGGAGATGAAAGGGAAATTCCTAAGTGTTAATGCTTCACTCTCTTGTGTAATGCCATTACTTTTAGCCTGGTATGCCATACTCTCTCTATTTGACATAACTTAGATTCTTGTAGTTTATCTTTGATTTTATATGAAAACTATGACATTTTATGACTAAACCTTTAACATTTTGGAGATAGGGGCAACTCTTTGGTTGACTGCTCTAGTTGTCTAGAAATGGTGTAGTTTTTAGAGGTGTAGAGGGATTTTGGGAGGTTTGGGGCCTTTGGGTATCGTGTGAAATCCCACAATGGTTGGGGAGGAGAACGAAGCATTCTTTATAAGGTGTGGAAACCTCTTCCTAGCAGACACGTTTTAAAAACTTTAAGGGGAAGCTCGAAAGGGAACACTTAAAGAGGATAATGTCGGCTAGCGGTGAGCTTGGGCTGTTACAAATGGTATCAGAGCCAGACACTAAGTGATGTATTAGCGAGGAGGCTGAACCCCGATGGGGGGTGATGGGAAAGCTCAAAGAGGACAATGTCTGCTAGCGGTGGGCTTGGGCTGTTACAAATGGTATCAGAGCCAAACACTGGGTGATGTGTCGTCGAGGAGGTTGAACCCTGAAGGAGGGTGGACACCAGTGCTAGCGAGGAGGCTGAACTCTGAAGGAGGGTGGACACCAGTTCTAGCGAGGAGGCTGGGCCTCGAAGAAGGGTGGACACAGGCGATGTGCCAGTGAGGACGCTAGACCCCAAAGAAGGGTGGACACCAAGCGGTGTGCCAGCGAGGATGTTGGGCCTCGAAGAAGGGTGGACACCAAATGGTGTGCTAGCAAGGATGCTGGGCCTCGAAGAGCAAGAATGCAGGGTCCCAAAGGAGGGTGGATGGAAGGTCCCACATTGATGGGAGAGGAGAATGACGCTGCCCCGAAAGGGAGGGGAGGGGGTGGATTGTGAGATCCCATATCAGTTGGAGAGAAGAATGAAACATTCTTTATAGAGGTGTGGAAACCTCTCCCTAGCAGATACGCTTTAAAAATCTTCGGGGAAGTCCGAAAAGGAAAACCCAAAGAGGACAATATCTACTAGCAATGGACTTAGGCGGTTACTTTCGGCTTATGTTTCTAAAGATCTTAAGATTTTAGCATCTTTCCTTTGTCTTTCCCTAACCATTGGAGGCATTTTATTTTGTAGTTCTGTTCTTTTTCCCTGTTATGTTTGGCTTTCTTTCTCTGTTTCTGGCCCTTTCTTATTATTTCATATAAAGGGAGAGAAACACATTCATTTGCTCTTTCATCTCATCTTAAAACGTTTAAAATCAAAACTCTGAGTTTGTATTCCTTAGTGATGATATCTGTTTAGTGTTCTTAGCCCCATCAGATAACTTTCTGCTGCAGCAATGAGATATATATAGATATATAGATAGATGTTATATAATAGATTAGCTTCTTTACTTCAGTCATTTACATTTGGGGGTTTAGCTTTACATAATACATTATATATATTAAAACTTAATTCTCTCTATCTGCAAATTCCGAGAAAGTGAGGGTCGCAAAATATACACTCTTTCTCCAATATTCTTCTTATTCTCATTTACAACGACACTTCTTTCTTCCCCGCCCCTCCCTCTTCCATTACCTCTGCCCTTTAAATACTTTTTTGTTTATTTACAAATTACTGTTATTCTGTCAGCTGAAACATAAATCTCTAACCTTTCACCTCTGTCACTGCAACAGCAACAAAATGAACTGGAATTCTTTCTGATCAAGGCAGCTGGAGACTGACCTGACCTTGCTGCAATCCGAAAACTGCTCTACCGGGAGGATGAGAAGGAAGACGCCGATGCCGACTGTCCAATTCTCCTTTCTGCAAAGGACAGGCAAGTTTATCACGATCTGTGGCGATCACACTAAAGATATCCAGAATTATGAGTGTAAGAGAAGTGCTACGTCTCTCACCTCCTGTTGTGATGAGCTTTTCAACTCGAGATACGATATGTTTACCGTAAGTATACCTCTTGAGGGAGTTCAAGTGAACCCTTATACGAGAGAGAATTAATTCAAGACTATGGTCATCACACGATTCTAGAACCTTTTGGACAACATAGTTCCCGAACGGATCCTTCATCATTGCCTGTAACATATCATTTTATCAGACCAATTATTTGTAAATTGATACAAGTATTGTATGCATAGAAGTTACTGCTGATCATCCTAACATCACCAAGAACTTTCGTTTCTATCAAATTACTATATGATCTCTCAACTGTAATACGAAATACACCCAATTGTTGTAAAAGTGGAATATTTCTTCCTATTTATTTAACATGTTAAGATACAGGTATTAAGGCATGTATGTTGATGTTAAGAGTGTTCGCAAAAGCTCGACTTTAAAGTGAAAAACACAGCATGCTATGCTTCTCTTGCATGATCAAAGGCAGGTACACGAGAATTTAAAGATGAGTACGAATTCAACAGACCTGCAAGGGCTCATTCTCATCGGTAGAACCAAGAATCTCGTTAATTAGTAGTTGACGTTCCTCAGGACTGCCAAATGTTAAACACTTCTCCACAACATTAGAAGCAAACTTCTGTTGACTCATCTTTACAATCTGTCCTGCAAGCTTACTTATAATAGCAGACCGCTCGTGCGGTTTACCAAATTGAAGTACATGCTACAAAAGAAGGGCACAGAATTGGTACAGAGATATAATAAAAAGCAACAATGATCATTGACAATATAGTCTTCTTTAGATATGATGAACAGAACAATCAGTTTCCCCTCGACCCCATTCTAAAAAACATATGAAGTAGTTGCATTGCAACTAAAAAATCACACAAATAGTCAGATGAATCAACTAATTTCTTGACAAACGAGCAATATATCGACGCGTACATTTGTACATATATACACAAATTGACTATTCGCATAATTTGTTTACCTGAATAACATAATTTCCATACTGATCTTGTGAGAGGAGGCAAACGGATTG